ACTTAAAATGATCATTAATGCTATATTACATGTCACACTTGGATACAAAATGGACAATTATTAACTCAAAATATCACTCAAAGCAGAATGACCCAAACCTTTAAGTTTTAAGTTTAAGTAGCCTTTATTGTCATTATACAATGAATTGTACAACGCAATTATGAGGTTAGAATGGAGGGTTAGTCCTGAGCTGCTGCGACTGAGAGCGCCGCCACTATGGGCAAACCTAACCTTAAGTGCCCATCATGCATGTCTTAAAGCCAGTAAACAACAGATTTGAAGGGTACTTTTCGATACAGATAATTGGTAATACAATGATCAGAAACTAGCAAATATGTACAAAAGTGAAAACAGGACAGTGTCATTATCTGAGTAATATGGTCGTGGCACAGAAGCCCATTAGTACAGGCAAAAATATATTGGTTACCATAAAACTGACCCTACCATCAGGCTTACTTTTAGAGGACTGAGATGATGGAAGAATGTCAACAGCTAGTTAACAATTGTTCATTCTCACTCTGAGCCATAACCAACTTACCTGGACTTTACTTGTTTTCTTTGCCTCCATTTTCCCACATGAAAACTTTTGCCTCTCCTCTGTTTTTCTCTTTCTGTACTCCAGAAAGGTCCCTAGAGTAGGGGTTTGAATAGTCTGTGATTCTACACGGAAGCAAAAGAAAAACATGTTACATTATACAGACACATAAATACAACACATTATTTTTTTGCAAAATAGGGGTGCAGTTTTGGGGACACAAACAAACTGAAGCAAGAAAGTAAACAAATCTAGAAACAACACACACAATCTTTTCCTTCTGGCCTGCAAATTTCTAAACTAAAGCCTGAAGTTGCTTCATCTGTCTTCAGTTTCACTGCCTATAACGTGCACTCTAACGTTACTGACCACCAAAAGATACTCTGGCAACAGCGGTAACATCAATACATCTTTCACTCCAAACAGCAGCATTCATGAAACACCTGTTGCCCCCTCACCCCTAGATGACAACACGTGCCTTATCACGTCTTTAATATACATGCACAAACACAGACCGTTCCTCTAACAAGTCGACCATTATGTAAACGTAATAAATGTGTATGTGTATGTATACTGTAGCTGTAGGAATTGCCGAGTAAGGTCTGGAAACTGACGTAAGTTAGCTAATTTGCTCTGGTAAGCTAACGTTACACCATTCAAAAGTACGTTAGCCTAACATAAACATTACATTAACGTTACATCCGTCAACTTACTTGAAGGTGGCGCGTGAGTATCGTCACCGTCTTCTTGCAGCCTTTTCCCACAATCACTGCAGAAGTTGGGTTTTCCCTCGAACTCTTTGCCACAATTGTGGCAATACATCGCGGCGTGTTCCTTTGTTTCTGTTTGTCTGGCGGTGTTGTCCTTCCGGTTCAAAGGACGGATCAGTCCAATCAGCGACCATTCATGTCGCCCGAGGGTACCTACCTTTTCCGGTTTGGTTAATGCCGTTGTGTTTTCTGTTTTGTTGTTGTGTTTTCTGATTTGCCGTTGTGTTTTCTGTTTTGTTGTTGTGTTTTCTGATTTGCCGTTGTGTTTTCTGTTTTGTTGTTGTGTTTTCTGATTTGTTGTTGTGTTTTCTGATTTGCCGTTGTGTTTTCTGTTTTGTTGTTGTGTTTTCTGATTTGTTGTTGTGTTTTCTGATTTGCCGTTGTGTTTTCTGTTTTGTTGTTGTGTTTTCTGATTTGTTGTTGTGTTTTCTGATTTGCCGTTGTGTTTTCTGTTTTGTTGTTGTGTTTTCTGTTTTGTTGTTGTGTTTAGTAATTTGGCGTTTTGTTTTCTGTTTTGTTGTTGTGTTTTCTGATTTGCTGTTGTGTATTTTGATTTGTTGTTGTGTTTTCTGATTTGCCGTTGTGATTTGCACTTCAGGGCCACCGTACATATTAGAACAGCACCTTTGCAGATTCATCATTCAAACCTTTATTTAGGATTCAGGAAATCAACTGAGGGAGTGATGCTGAGCATAAACAGAGACAATAAAAAAAGTTGCATTGCAACATTGCAATCATTCCCTGGACCCCTAAAGTGTCTTTTCCCTTGGTTTATCCGCCCCATTCCCACTTGGTAATTGGGTAGGGTGATTACAGAAAGTCCAAGTGTCTTTTCCATGCTGCTCTTCCAAGTTATTTTAAAGTCATTCAAGTATTGTAAAACTGATAGTTTTTCCATAATGTAAATTTCCTGTACTATATCCATCCATTCCTCGATGGTGTGTGGTTCTACTTTAAGCCATTTTCTTGTGATAGTTTTTTTACTAGCTGCCAATAGTACATAAAGCAATTTTTTTGATTCATAGTTGAAGGTAATATTCATCCCCATTACATTTGGTATACGTTTATGGATTTCTTCCCAAAATTTTCTGATAACCTGGCAGTCCCAGAAAATATGAAAGTGATTGGCTCCACTAGTGCCACAGTCTAATCACCATTATGATGTCGTTTCTGAATGGGTGTGATAAAAAATCTCACTGTGTTCTTCCAACAAAACTCACGCCATATGTTTGACCCTGTTGACCTCCACTGTAGCTGACACACTCTTTCCCAACTCTCCACCGAGATCACTGCCTTTCCTTCTTTTTCCCACTTCTCCTTTATATATATTGTACTGTCTTGTTTTGATTTTTGGATGCCATTGTACATTCTAGATATAATTTTAAAAAAATAACTTCTAACTTGCAGGTACCTGGAAAAATCCTCTTTTCCCAACCCTTGTTCGTTTTGCTGAACTTCAAATCTCTGGAATGCCCCCTTGTGGATAAATGAGTAATAGGTGGTTAAGCCCTTTGGGATCCATCCCTTAAATCTGTCATCATTTTTGTTTGGTTCAAAATCCAAATCGTTGGCACACCACCTCAGGATTTTAGATGCGTGCTCCAATCTACAAGTTTTTACTACTTCCTGCCAGGATTTTAAAAAGATGTCAGGCATGTGATCCTCTGAAATCATAAGATCCTCTTGCAATTTCTTATCTGTTAGTAGGGCTGCTACTGGTTTTCCTTTCACCCTTGTACCTTCTATATCTTTCCAGCCTGCAGTGTATATTGGTGAGAGTAAACAAATTAATGGTCTCAATTGGGCTGCATGATAGTACTCTCTTAGGCAGGGAAGGCCCATTCCACCACTTTCTTTTTTCAATTGCAAAGTTCTATATTTAATCCTGGCCTTTTTCCCTTGCCAAACAAATCTAGATATCCACCTGTCCCATTCTAAAAATTGTTTAAGTGGTATTTCGATTGGCAGACACTGGAAGAGGTAAAGTAGTCTTGGCAAGATATTCAACCTAATTGATTCTATACAAGAACTCAAACCTAAAAAGGGAAAAACATTCCACCTTTGTATGTCTGATTTTATCTTAGAATTTAGGGGTCCATAGTTGAGATCAAACATTTTTGAAAGATCATTCGGCAGTATGACTCCCAGATACTTAATGAACTCTGCATCCCATTTCCAATTACATAACTTATTAATCTCCAATGGTGGGTCATAGTTAAAGGTTAAAACTTGAGTTTTACTAATATTGATTTTGTACCCAGACACTAAACCATATTCCTTTAACATTTTCATCAATTTTNGGTGGGTCATAGTTAAAGGTTAAAACTTGAGTTTTACTAATATTGATTTTGTACCCAGACACTAAACCATATTCCTTTAACATTTTCATCAATTTTGGGAGTGTCTGTGTAGGTTGTGCTAAACTAATCAATAGATCATCAGCACAAAGAGCCAATTTCTCCTCCCCAGATGCCATTGTTATCCCCCTTATATCAGAGTTCTGTCTGATCCACTGGCTCAGTGGCTCAATAAAGAGGGCGAAGAGGAGTGGCGACATACAACATCCTTGTCTCGTTCCTCTTTCCAATGTGAATGAACGAGTTAGATCTCCATTGACTTTTATCTTGGCTGATGGTTTATCATATAGTGCTGCTATTGTATCAATTATAGTCGTATGAAAATCAAATTTTGTTAATACCTTATACAGGAAGGACCATCTCACTGAATCAAACGCTTTCTCTGCATCTAAACTAATTATATGTGACTCCAGCTTTTGTTGAGTGACCTGTCTCATAACATGCAGTGTTTTCCTGATATTGTCTGTCGTCTGTCTCTGTCTGATGAAGCCCGTCTGGTCTTTGTGTATTAGGTCTGGTAGAATCATTTCTATTCTTTTGGATAGGATAGAGGTGAACAGTTTATAGTCAACATTTAGAACACTTACTGGACGATAGTTCCCACACNTTTGTTTTCTGTTTTGTTGTTGTGTTTTCTGATTTGCCATTGTGTTTTCTGTTTTGTTGTTGTGTTTTCTGATTTGCCATTGTGTTTTTTGTTTTGTTGTTGTATTTTTTGATTTGTTGTTGTGTTTTCTGATTTGCTGTTGTGATTTGCACTTCAGGGCCACCGTACTTTTCAGCTTCCGGAACACCATAGAGCCTTAAATTCCACCACCACCCATAACTTTCCAGGTCAGATACGTGATTCAAGCATTTCATAGCGGTTTCCTCACTTTTCTCCACTCATTTTCAATGCCAACAATCTTCTCATTCATGTCTTTCATTTCGACACGGACAGCTTCCACCATTTTTTCAGTCGCATCACTTCTGGAGTTGATAAGGCTAGCCAGTGTGTGGACGGCATTTTCAGAGTTGAAATCGTTGTCGATATTAACACGAGAAAGTGCAGGTTTCTTGGGAAGTGGGGGTTTACTTGGAGTCACCGGCAATGGAGGAAACTCTTCCTTGCTCTCCACTTGCACGTTGAAATTCATCCCCCCATCATAGTTGTGGTCTCTTGCCTGGTTTGCTTGATGTTTTTTGAGCAGATTTCGGCATTTTAGCACTGCTGGATCAGTTCAAGCCAGACAGTATTGAGGGACTTTCTTCAGCAAACCTTACCAACTAAACTTTGTCATCTATTGCAGATAAGTGCTTCCAATATAAGTTCAGTGCTGAGAGCTCGATAATAAGCTGCTTACTCCATCACCATCTTGCGCGCCCCCCATTTTGAGCTTCAAATCCACTCTTCAGAAACGGATGGGTGACGTCACGGTGACTACGTCCATTATTTTATACAGTCTATGATCGAGGCGAGCGCTTCTTCCTACATGCTCAAAAACGTAGGTGCTGATTGGCCGAAGAGGAGTCCTGTGTATCTGCGCTCGATTNAGGTCTGGTAGAATCATTTCTATTCTTTTGGATAGGATAGAGGTGAACAGTTTATAGTCAACATTTAGAACACTTACTGGACGATAGTTCCCACACTAGAGTTTATCCTTACCCTCTTTCGGAATGATAGATATTATTGCGTCCCTCCATGAGGGGGGGATCTTTTTCATTTCCAGCACCCAATTAAATGTTTTTAAGAGTGTTGGAAGTAATTGGTCCTGCATTATTTTATACCACTCCGGGGTGAAACATCTGTCCCTGGGGACTTTCCTCCTTTTAGCCTTCCAATTGCTGACTGTAGTTCTTCTTTTGTTATTTTAGATATCAATCTATCATTTTGTTCTTTTGTGACCTTTGGCAAGTGTATCAAAGATGAGAAAGCATCTATCTGGTGATTATCGTTCAGTTGGGGTTGAGAATATAGTGTTTTATAGTAGTTTTCAAAACATTGTTGAATTTTCTCTATACTGGTTTCTATCTCATTTGTTGTGGAGTTTCTTATTTTGTGTATAGTTCTCTCTGCTTGTTGCTTACGCAACTTATATGATAGAAGCTTCAATGATTTCCCCCCTATCTCGTAGTATTGTTGCTTTAAGAACAAAAGTTTTTTTTGTATTTCCTGTGTGTTTATTTCATCTATTTCTTTATTTAATTCTGTAATTTTGGATTTAGTCCCATCTTCAAAGGTTTCTGAATGTTCTTTCTGAAGTTTCTTCAACTTACTCTCCAAGTTCTTGAGTTTTTGTTGCCTAATTTTCTTATCACTTACCGAAATGGCTATTATTTTACCTCTAATCACGGCCTTCAAGGCATCCCAGAGTATGGATGGAGTCACCTCTTTATTATCATTAAATTCCAAATATGATTTAATCTCCATCTTCAGTTTGTCTTTAATAGTTGGGTTATTTAAAATATTCGAGTTCAGCCTCCAGAGACCTAGGCTTGCTATTGAGGTTGACTGATAAATAAATCGGGCTATGATCAGACAGAGTGGTAGGGACTATCTCACATTGATCTAGTCTATAAAGGTCTTTTTTGAAAGTGAAGAAATAGTCGATCCGGGAGTACACATTGTGGACGGCTGAGAAGTGTGTAAAGTCACGACTAATTGGATTTCCTTCTCTCCACACGTCCACAATTCCCATTTCTTGCATCAAAGTTT